CTTTTTTTTGTCTTGTTTTCGCCATTATTATTGTACGTTACGATTGGGAAACGAGATATGTTTTCATATAGTGAAAGCAGCAGCAAGGTTGTGAGAATCTCTATTTTTTTCAGTAATTTACTTTCATGATTGCAGATAAAACTCCATGATCGACAAGTGAGGAGATTAAACTATTTGTCTGCTGTGTTCGTTATTAATTGAAAGAACATACTTTGGTTGGCGCAAAATTTTTGCTCAGTCTTGCAAAGTCTCTAGAGATCTTTGCAAATCTTTAGAGATTTTTTACGTAATTCTTAGTTGTTGTTTTTTTTTTTAATTAGGAGTTTTTACATCATAATTTTATTCAGTATTTTTTCTTTGTTCGTAATTTCGCTACAAAGTATATCAGCATCGGATATGAGACAACCATTTAAAAAATGATGATTTTTGATGCTGGTTTCAAAATCTGTTAGATTTTATTTTAGTGAAAGATAATCGTGTAACTTTTCTCACTTGGGAATTTTATTTGAACGATTATTATTAAAAGTGTTTATTAATTTGTTTATGCTTACAGTTTCTGCTTTGTGTACTGAAATTCGATGGTTATTGAAAAAAGTGAGCTGAATAAAACTTATCACAAATCATTGCGGATTTCATGTGTACATTGTACATATGCATTGTTGCTTGGCTAACTGAAGGCGGCTATGCTTTTTAAAAGTTTTATTCCAATCTGTGCTTTCCATACGTTTCCAGTACTGGTGCAAGTCAATGCCTTCCCAATTTGCATTATTCAATTTGTCGAAGTATCTTAAATGATATGAAATAACTGGTGTTATCAAATGAAATGCAATAAGCTGCTAAATTTTTATTTCTTGACTGCAGTTATGTGGTACAATGCCTATTTTCGGCTCTAACTGAATGTCAGGCTTTCATTAATGTTGCTATGAGTATACAAAAGTATATACCTGCGAAGGATTCGACTGCGAACACGTTCCTCATTACTAGTTAAACCATCACTGCATGCTATTTGTATGCATTGTAGTATTTGTCCTTTATTGCTCACTCCAACAAGACATGTGTTAATTCCAGGGAAGTGTGTTGCATATTCGATGGCTAATTTAGCTAAGGATATACCTTTGCTCTGAAGTGGTATCAAACAAGTTTTAGTTTTATTATGAGAATTTTGTATTTTGGACTAGCAGCAAAATTCCAATGACTTAATTAAAATTCAGGAAATAATTTACTTTGCAATAACTAGATGCTTCACTAGTTTTTTTCAAAACTACAGATGGTGCTGGATGCCATTCTTTTGGACCTTCGTCACTTAAAAGTCCCATTGATAGTGGTGCACCATTAACTACACCAACACCGTACGACTAAAATTTAGCATTTAAATTTGTGTAAACTTTTTGCCAAATGAAAAACAAAACAATTACGTGATATCAGTAGCCGTTTAGGATTTGCTCACTTATCATTAAAGCTATACTTTGTTTTCTTTCTGAAAGTGTTTTTTATTTAAAAAAAACATTCATAAGCCTTTGGTGAGAACAAACCTCAAAGTATTGTCTATATTCGCCAAATGAATTGTCACAAAGCGTTGCACGGCCATATGTCATTACAATATCAATTTTTATTGGACTGTTCTCAAGCACATTGCTGTAATAACAATCAGTTAGAACTATTGTTTTTAAATATGATGTAAAATATTTGTAAAAAAAGCTTCATACATACACAATATTCTGAAGTGTGTAACCAGCTATGCCAATGTATTTCGTTTTCCCTGTAACTTTAGCTATTCGTAATGCTTCTAGAGATTCTGTGAAGATTGTATGAGCTAATATGTTGAAATCGCTGTCACGTAACTGCAAATATTAATAAGTTTATGATTATTGATAAGGCAACATTACTCTGTAAAAAATGTTTTAGCTGAAGTCAATTTCTATTTTAAAGTATATTAGAAGTCGGGTTTTAAAAGTTACACAGTTGACTTGCGTAGCATACAGTTCAAAGCATTTAGTCCAATATTTTCAGAAATATTCGGAATTTTATATCTCACGTTAATGATCATTTTGTGAATGACGGAACTTGAGCTTAGAAAGCAGTGCGATAAATCATCTATTTAAAGCATCAAAAAGCAAAAATGCACTAAATGGATAATTTATGTCACTACGAAGTTGACATACAAGACAAATTGGATTCTTAGTCTCTGCTGTGCAAGAGATTTTGTCAGCAAGAAAATGTTTGTATACATTATTCTGAATGAGAAAAATACTGATTTGTTAGTAATCATACAAGTGAGAACTTGACATTTTTAGGATAATTACTATAAAAATGCGTAGTCCGTCAGGGAGTAATTTGTTTGAAAAGGCACCTGCAAATAACAGATATCTACGTAAGCTAATTTCAATCTTTTCAAGCTCATTGAAAGTTGTTCAAGTAAAGCGTCTGCTCGGTAATCATAAGATCGTGAAAAATCCAATTCAAATCGACCTATTTTCGTACTGATAATATAAGTACTTCGAGGGAACTTTTTTAGAGCCTGAAAATTTTGGTCTTATTTTTGAAAAAAATATTTAGGAGCACAAAATAGTTAAGTCTCATGTGTTTCAAAAATTTTCATAGTTAATAAAAATCTTATCAAAATATAAAGTAATAAAAGTAATTGTTACTGCTCCAAGAATTTCTTCTGAACGACTTTGACCATACCAGTAACCAGTATCAATGTAATTAATGCCGTTTTTAAAAGCTTCTTTTAAAATTTCATCTATAGGATAATTTTTTATATCTCCAAATAATCCTCCAATTGCTCCACCACCTACAAAATATTATTAATGCTTATGCATGCAATTTAATTTTAATAATTTTGCATAGCTTGTAATATCAGCAAGGTAATGATTAACTGATAACAATACACCTAAAGATATAATTGAAACATTGAGTGACGTGCTTCCAAGTGGACGATAAGTCATCATTTCATTATGATACAGTACTTTTTTGATGTTGTGAGTTTCACTTTTTGATAACATCGAAGCATCTTCTTGACTTCCCTATAAAAATTAAAATATTTGATTGAAAATTGCGCACTAATTATATATTACAAAAGTAGTCACAGAGCTTACTTGTACAGATCTTTCTTCTGCTTCTGCCTCTGCTTCATCTTCTTCTTCTTCTTCTTTAGTAACAGGTAGAGCAGAACTTCGTACAGCTGATGACAATGTATGTGATTGTTGCTGACAATCTTGTTGCATTTTTTTCACTTAATATATATGACAAACAAATCGCTATTTAAAAATTTTATACAATAACATAAGAATTAATTAGTTATGTACCATCGCTTCAGTAAAAGACAAATTACTGCTTTAAATACGTTCAGACATTATTTAATATTAATTTTAAGTATTAGCTTATCTTGTCAACAACTAAATTTAAAATGCATACTTCTATAGCGTGCGAAATTTTTAAGCTCATTTTAATGCTAATAGCTTTTTGAAAAGTAATTTGATAAATTAGACAAGTCAAAATGCATACTTACTTACAAAAACAAAAATGTTTAAAAAAATTGAATAGATATTTGAAAATAAATGGAATAAAATTCATATTCTTTTCATGCGTTGTATAAAATTTTAGGAAAATCAGTCAAAAATATAGTATAAAATAAAAAACACTCATATGACAGCAAGCAAATTCTAATCTTTTCGATTCTCATCTGATTTTATATGTACTGCAAATCCATTATTATTAATGCATAGTTCTTTTTAGAATGAAAATATTGAATCTTAGCTAAAGAATTAGCTGAAAAAATTTAATCACTCAATCTTGCTTATGAATATTGCATTATGATTGATTCATTCGAGGTTGGGTAATTTTATGACTTTCTGTTTTTGCAGTAGTAAAATCATGCTTTTAAGATATTTTTAAATATTTATGCTGTAAATAAATAAGACATATAATATTGCAATAAGACATATGAGTTAGTGAATAATAAAAAATTATATTACAGAACTGTTTCGCTGGAAAGATAGACTGTGAAAAATAATAATTGAGTGATTGAGATTTTAGTTAATACTACAAATTCTGACTGCAATATACAAAATATTAGGAAAGTAAAGAAAAATTTACTTTTAATCATCTAAATTATTATCATAAAATGAAAAAAATGCTAAAATAGTTGTTAACACCACAGGGTATCTGATCGCACTTTGTTATTAATATTTTATTTTATAATATCTAGTTATCTTACAAAATTAATAACAACCTTATCTATAATTTAATTTTATTAACTTCTCGTAAAACTTCAACCGATCAATACTTAACAGATATTGCTGATCACCCATTCATGCTTAGATTACTTAATAAATTGTTATTTAGCAAGTTTAAAATCAGTAACTTCTGAAAAAAGATTTTCAACTGCATGTTGGAACTACTTACTTTTATGACTACTTGACTTATAAATCCGTTATTTAAAGGTTTTACTAAAAGCCAAGATGAAGATGGAATTATATGATTTGATTAACCTTTTATTAACATTTAGAGAGCAAAATATATAAACTTTAGAGGCGAATATACAAATTTGTGAATTATTTTCACGCGCAAGAGAAAATTAAAGTGATAGTACTGATCAAAATCTTTTAAATCTATTCATCTTATGGGCTCTCTTTAATCTGAAAATAAAATAAAAACTGACATTGGCAACAATAATATGAGTTAGAAAGTAATAATATCAGTTAAAAAGACTAACAAAGTAAACTCTACGAATAAAATTATTCTACCGATTGTTAGAAGCAAAATGAGTTAGACAAATGTGGTAATAAAGCAGTTTAGATCACAGACAAAAATAAAAATAGGAACGTGAATAGTGAGAAAAGTTGTCAGTTTTACTAATTTGTTGCAAAAAAACACGAGATCTGTAAACCTGTATTTGAGAATTAAAAAAATTAAGATGTACCAGCTAGAGTTAAATTATTGTAATTTTGCTAAGAATGGAGTAAACTTCTTCATGCTTTCCTATTACTGCTAGATCTCGAAATTTCGAACAGCAAGATATTCGATATCTGTAAACCATAAATATTATTAACTTGTATTTGTGAAAATTATTTACTTTAAAAAGATATGAGAGATTTCTAGTGAAATTCAGAATTCATTCAATTTTAATGCAGTTAGTAAGACTCACGTAATAATTAACTTAACCTAATTTTTTTAATAATTTATGTTTAAAAAAATCTTTCATAAAAATTTGAATTGACTTTCAAAATTATCATCTTACAGAAAAATTGAACTGTTTTATAAAGTTATTATTTCAATAAAACCTAAAAAAAACACAAGCATGCATAAATCGCTCTCAAATATTAAGCATAATAGAAGTCATAAAAACAAATTTATTATGATTTTTAAATTGTAATAAATGAATTGAATTTTGTTGGCTAAAGACTCTTTCAGCTTTTTGGTTGTTCAAGTTCCACAATAATTGCTCGCAAGCGTTCAAGAAGACTACGAGCTGAATCCAAAAGTTCATCAACATTGTGTCTCTCTGCCATTTCTATAAAATATCTTGTCAACAACATCAAATTTAAATTGTATTCGAAATAACAACTTTTGGGATAACCAATTTAGTCCCTTCCCTCAGGAATGACTTCTATCATTTGTAGCATTACAAAAGCAGTGGGTACTATATGAACAAGCTTTTATAGCAAAAATTTGTGAAGTTTGGGTTGCGATATTTTTAAAAAATATTCAAAATAATGCAGTATATGTTTCTTATAAGTAAAGAAATCGCTCAAATTTTATGATAGCATAAAAGTACATTTGTAAAAAAGATTACAGTGTAACTAAAACGATAATTTTTGAAATTATATATTCACATTATGCTATGAAACAACTAAGGGCGAAGTTCACTTGGTAAAATGCCAATAAATTTATAAAAAGGAAAAAAAGAAAGCTAAGCTAATTGTATTTACCGTTATAAAACTTGATAACATCAGTAAAATCCATCCGATTGTCAATAATCACATGGCGATAAGCAATAATCATTGCTAGAGCGAAGAATAGATGGAAATGATTTGTCAGTAATGAAGAAGCGGCCCAAATTACTTCCCAAACTCGAAATATTTGAGTATAAGTTAGCTCTGCAAGCAAAAATTGTCGATTTCTGCTTTCAGTACATGCACATATGAATGATATTCATTCATCTATATTAGAAGTTATTAAGCATAACTATAAAATGATTTCTTTTCACAAAATTTTAAATGCATCAGAATATAATACCCCTTTTGAAATCCAGTAAAAACCATCGATAACAAAAATAAAGATGTGTTGCATCACCTTCGGCTATGTACTCATAGAATTCTGGATCCATCACCTGAAGTCAGTCCATTGAAGTTTTCTTAAGAATTAAACACAAAAAAAAAATCAGACTATTGTGCTAAGATAAATGAAGATTAACCTGAATAAGGGAACTCATACAAGCCAAATTGTCATCCATACCAGTACGATGAGGGAAATTCTTCTTCATTCGAACCATAAGTTGGTCAAAACATGCTAATACCAATGGTTCTATACAATAATAATAATCATTTAACTTAATTTTTTTAATAAAAAAAATGATTACTGCGTTTGTTGTTCTTTTAATTTGTTTGATTTGATTGCATACAACAAAATTACAAATTATAAATTTTAAATATTCTCATTGCTATCATTGTTAGTAATTAAAAAGTAATATTTATTGAGAAAAAAAATCAGAACGAAAATATCTTCTAGACATTAACTCAAACAATGCCTTCATATAATGCCAATAACTCTAAACTGAATATCTATCTGACCATATATGAACTAACCATCGTCAAAGATGACAAGTAATGGAGCAGCAATATCACACATGCCTTGAGTATAGCCTTCATTTATGTTCCTCCATATATGAGTACACATTACTGTTTTCAACTTGCACAAATTCTCTTTTTTGGCAAAATAAACAGAACTCCGATCACAGCGTTCCACATCTTTCTCAATACGGTGCAAATTAGCTCCAAATTTTTCGATTAAATCATCCTAAAATGCATATATATTTAAAATTATGATGTACTTAAAATTTAGCATAAATAATATACAAATGCAGCTTGTTTTTTTAAAATCATATTTCTGGCATTCTCTCGCCCAACGCTCAGTTCTGCTGTGCTGATCTCCGCTTCTTCGTCCTGGTAGAATCCACGGCGCTGATCGAATGAGATGCTTCCGAGCGTTTTCTTAAGCACTATCGCCTCAATGTGATCAGATATACTGATTTCCTTCGCGTAACGATTGTGGAGGTTCATCACTATCTCATCCCAAGTCATTACATACGGAATTTGATCATAATTATCTTATACCAAAAGTAGTTAATCTGAAACTTTCAAAACTTCTAGATTTTTTTGCAAGCATTTATGATATTTCTTTACCTCACTCGATTTTTTACTCATTTTGTTTGACTCTTCACCTTCTTCGAATACTTCGTTGTTAAAAGATAAGTCTTGAAAGCATGTATTGCCTTCAACATCAGCATTATAAGTTTGATATCGAAGTCGGGCTAAAACATTAGGTATAATTCTATGCATTAATGTTACAAATTTAATTTATTCAGTGGTAATGAGAAATTGCGATCACAATCCTTTGATTTGCTTTTCTGAAGATCCATTTGCTAAAAATAGAATGCAAAACTCGATTCCATTATAGAATTATTTTAACCTGCAGCAAATGCTTCTTTATCTCGTTCACGAATAACTTTTTCCAATTTTTCCCATTCTACCACGTCATTGTAGTATTTTGCACGATAGGTATTTTGAAGTTGTTCAAAATCATCTGTCCACTTTACTAGACCTAACAAATATGGCCAAACTTTACGTCGTAGCGTGTGAGATTCATTTTCACGTATACCATAACGATAAACTCGCGATAAGAATTCTTTTTCCAACTTTTCCTGAATTTTTTGTAATTAAATTCCTAAAGTTTCGTGTGATTTTCTTTGATTTTTTTAAATTAAACATCAAATACATATTATTCATTGGAAGATAAAACAAAATTTTAACTGTTTTGAATTTTCTACATTCCATCCAAAAATTTTCATCAACTGGCGTACACGCATCTTCTATTATCGCTTTGGAATCTATCAAAATCGATAAATGATTTCGAATTGTGCGCAAGTGTCCACAATATGCCAACCCTAATAAAATTATGGGTTTTTTATTAGGCATATATACTTATGTACAGACATGCTAATTTTTCTTAAATACATCTTTAGCATGATAATCTAAAAAGAAGTGTAAACTGTAAAGAATAAGAAATTGTGAATAAATTAATATTTACAATTTCAAGCAAAAATATGCTATAAAAGTGGAAAATTACCGAATACTTCAATATTCAGGTGATTGTAATTTAAGCTTATATTATATACTTTTGTGTATTTGCGCACAATTTTAGAGATAGAATAAGTAATATATTTCAGAATTCTATAATATATTACGATTAAAAGTTTCTGTTTCGGGAAGGAGAAGATTAAGATTAATACTATGGATGCTTGGAAAAAAAGCTCTTTGGGAAAATTTTCTGAAGCTTACATCCATAGAAAGTACGGGCCAATATTTGAGTTTTCATCGAAGAACAAGCGTTGTTAAAATTTTGCCTGCAAATTTGCATAAATTTAATGAAATCTAATGAAGAATGTAATGTGTTTTTAATATTTATTACAGGTTTATTCAGTGAACAAAATTTAAGATACAAACTTCATTAGTTCATTTACTTCGCTTTCACTTATTGTTCGTTTTTCTTCTCGTTTGCTGTAAATAAATAATTTGAACATACTCAAATAATTAATAAATGCATGGCTGAGTTTTTTAACAAATAAAAACTTTCTTTTTTTTAGCAATAATTTTTGTTAAAGTATATGACATTCTCTTTCTGAAAGCAAATGGTTACTACGAGACTTACTTTTCGTTGCATAAAGTAATAAAGAATATTAGAATTGTTGGCAGAAAAAATAACAAAAAAAAATGAATAATTCGCAACAAAAATGAGTAATTGATGTATGAAATTTATTTTTCGTTACATAAATATTACAGTTCAAGAGTTAATCTAAGTTATTAATTCATTGACTATCAAAACACAAACTCACCTTGGCTTTCCAACCACTGGATAAGATTCATGTGATCTTATTTCAGAATTACTTGATTCAGCGAGACGCATAGCAGAAGTATAACAGTGAACTATTCGAAACACGTAATCCTGTAGCTTGTTATCTTCCGTTGAACTTGTGCTTGAATCATTCGATGCAGTTATGCTTCTTCTACGCAATTTTGGTAATATTTTACCTAAAAATTTATGATAACATAACATTATGAATGAATATGAAATTTCTTCTGATAATCAGTCTAGATCTGATTGAATTGATCAAGTATTTTGGTAATGTCAGTCTTACTTTTAATTAATTATCTAATAAAGAATTTAAATACTTGATAATTAATGAACTGACCTTTGTCTTTTGAAAACCATAAAGGTGGATCGAGTCGACTGAACGGTGCTATGCCACTTTCTAAGCAAGAAAGAAATGCCAACAGATGATGGCCAACTGCAAATTGCATTGGTGAATGCTGAATTCCATCACCTCCCACAAAGATTAGTGTACTCGGTGAATCTTCATCTAAAACTTTTCTTTTTTCTTTTATTTTGAATAATAACTTTTCAAATTATAAATACGTACATAAATTGGTATTTGCAGAATTGAAAACAAAAGTATATATTTAAACGTAAGCCAAATCCTCTAACGATATAAAACCAACTGTATTGATGTACATGTATGTAAATAATGTCACTGATATTGATATTCACAATATGTCTCCATAGCCAATCGTTGTCACAATGAAGATAATCATAAGAAGCTGAGGAAGGCTGTGAACTATAAAAATTTACACCACAAATTATCAAAATGTTCATCCACTTCTTCATATTGGACACAAAAACAGAAACATTGTAAACAAGCATAATTGTTATAGCAAAATTTGTAAATTATAAACTGTTTCTGTAATGAACCTTTGATAAAAATTTGCAAATACAAAAATATGATAAGATTTAAAATTACATTTCTCATGAGAAAAAACAGAATTTTATGTTTGTAAAGAAAGCATAATGAATTTAGTAGTGAATGAATTTGATAGAATATTAGAAAAAACAAGTAAAAAATGATAAAACACACACTTATGATGCAATTATCACTGATTACTAGCAAATTTTATCAATCTAATGACAACCTTGAATGCATTAATTGGTTTGGAGTCCATTTAACTGTAACATTTCCAAGTGAATTTTGATGCAACGATAAGTAACCTTTCATCGGTGGCCCATCTGGTGAAATGGTAACTGTGATATTATTCTTACCATAGAGCAGAGATGACTTCACGTTTTGATGTAATGAGTATACGTAATCACGTCCAAAGGTACATACAGGTGATGAACAACTATCAACACTGCTTACTATGCTATTACCACGCTTCATAACCTAAAAGTACTCATAAATATTACGAATTAATAATTAGCATATTGTGGAAATATCTTTATAATAAAATCAGTCCCAAATAGTTTTTCGTATTATCATCATTAATGTCTTTATGGTTTTATAAATTTGAATATATTTGAGAAAAGCAAAGATTGAAATATGGAAAAATTTGGTAGCAAAGAAAAATAAAAGTCAAACCGTCAAAGGCGGTCTTCTTGGTGTTGGTGGCGTTGCTGAACATGAATGAATATTTCGGTGCCGTTCTATAAGTTCAGCTGCTACGGGTTCATCATAAATGTCATATGGATGATCAACCATTGTGTAATCAATTGCGCATGGACCAACTAAAATTAATTTTAAAAGGTTGTAAATATACAAAATGTCACTTTTTCTTTCTCTTTAAAAAATGAAAAAGTGAGTTAACAATAAATTGGTAACAAACATAAAATAAAAAATTTTTATTTAGCCAGATTTGAATTCAGTAAAAATATTGAAACAGCAAAGAACAAACTGAAAAAGAATTTTAAACACTTTTGGTAGAAATTTTGTTTTTTGAAACTTGCAAAAATACAATTTTTAATGAAGCTTACACAGTTTAAATAATCTAGTTATTGAAGCTTTTTTTTTAAATTTTCGCTGAATTTGCAAAACTGTTAATTTATTAGCTATGAAAATAAGATATATGATGAAAATTGTTAAAAGACTAATGAAATTAAACTTTCACTTTGATTTAATTTTTGCACTGACATATATTTTATATAATGAATTATTTTTGTAGTAAATTAAAAGGATAATATTATTCAATGATATGATGGAGAAATAATAAACAATTTAAAGTATACTTGGGATAATTGATGAAAACTTTTTAAATAAAGTTAAGTTAACTATTCTTCGTTACTTTTTACTAAGTTATTCTTTTGTATTCGATTTTGAGCTACAATAATAGTATAAAGTAAATATTCAAAATCAGATTATCTGGAAAAAATTGCAAGGAATGATTTTTTATTCATATTTAACCTTTAGCCTTTTTCTCATATAAATTAAGTTTATAAAAAAAATAAGTTATTTACAGCATTTGAACATTAAAATTCAATGTTAAGAAAAAAGATGAGTAAAGAATTGCAATAATCTGATAATGTAACAAGCAAAAAAATTGTTAAATTAAGAATGATCTAAATAGTTTGTATTTAGTCTAATTATTACGCATTGTAAATTATAATAAAAAAATTACATCGGTCTACTTTTATTACCAAAATTTATCATTCTTTCTTAAAAGTAAGTGAGTAATAAGACGTAGTTATAGTACTAATAGTAATGTGTACGCATTCCTTAATCACCAACTTATCTTTATTGACACAAATCTATTATCCATGTTATTTCATTGAATGTTTTATATATGGTCTAATTACTCTCATCATTCTAGACCAATTTCAAATAAGCAAGCAAGCAAGTAAGTATGTAAAGAAGTAACTCTCTCATCCCATAGTATACACATATTTGTCATCTGTATTATTTTCCTTGGCTCTACTGAAAACATTCAGTTGCACTCATATTAAGCACAAATATACTTACGTGTAAGAATTAATTCAAATTAATTCAAATCGGCAAACAAATACGCATGCTAATTTTTACGTCTTTTTTACGTATTTTTTTGTAAATATCAAAATTACTGACAGTGCACATTGAAATATGCGTATTACACGCACATTCTACAAGGAAGAATAAATGAGTAAAAATGAACGCATCTGTTCATTACATATGTCCAGGCTGAAATTGATTACAAACACTATAATGTGTATGGTTAAGGTATGTTTACACTAGTGCCATACTTGGATGCATATAATGCTTCGCCTAGTTGCCAGTTAGCTTTTTTAAGGGATAAACACTAATTTTATTGCCTTTAATGGTATTCTACGTTATTATCTCTTGCAGTCATTAAGGCATTATTCATTCAATTGTCAGAAAACTCGAACTCCTTCACTACCATAATGTTTCTTCTTCTTTTCTTTCCAAATAACTATGGCAGTTACTCAAGCAATAAATCTTAAAAATTTGAGAAGTAAAAATCAGCAAATACAATTTTAGAGCGCATAATGTGAAACACTTGCAGTAAATTATTATGCTATAATATTTTTAATCTAAACTAATAAAATGGATATATGATGCTCTATGAATAATGCAATAATTTACTGTATAGCAATAGCAAGGACGTAGTGATGAGTAAAGTTAAAGTAATGAAAATACTAAAATAATAGTAAAGTTATTACTGCTTACATAATTTTAATTTATAATGCAATAATTTACTGTACGAAAAATTAATCCAAAATGTAAACATTTTTTGTGCTCACAAACATTAGCGAATTATTGATGCAAGCAAGCATAAATGGATTAAGTTTTTTGCCTAGTAAGGAAATTAGTTCAAGTGAGGCACATACAAATCTTGGCTTTTTATTTGAAAAATTTGAAAGCAAAAAACGATTGAATGAAAGAGAGAGAATTCTCAATGAGACAAATAAATGTCAAAAAGTGCTGATGACAAATTTTATAGATACATGTCAACGCAAGGGCACGCAAGTCAGAATCATTTTTTGCTTGTGGACATTTCTTAAGTGAGTTTACGTTTCTATTTTAGAATAAGAAATATACACACCTATATCCTCTAAAAAATTATGACGTTATTCAAGCACTTAATAATGTCATAGTCGATTCCGTCAGACAAAATTTCCAACTCATTCACTACAACTTACATTAGTTAGACATAAGATTTTACTTCCTGATTTTTAAGTATAAAAGTTGTTTACTTATTTTTTATTTTGCGTCATAAGTTTTTTCATAAAAATTTTTCACTAATATTAACATAATAAAATTGTTCAATTATTATTTTATTAATCAAATACTAAATTTTATTATCATAAATCTATAATTACTAACTTATCGAAATCTATTTGTAAGCATTTGTGCTATGTAAAAT